TGCTCTGTAGAGAGAATTACAGAAATTTTCCTGTTTCTGTGAAATAGGACAGTGAGGTACTTGACTAAAACCGTTAGAGGTGGGGGAAGAGTGGAGTGAACGTTGCCTTCCCCCCCCCCCCCCCCCCGCCATGGGAGACATCACGCCACTGTCTTTAGGCCTCCCCCTCCTTGTGACGTCACAGGACGCTCGAGGGTGAGTGAGCCTTATTGGTTTAGGCATGTGTGCTCCAAGCCTAGTTTTGGCGCGAAGAACTATGGTTGGATGCGGCACGAGGGAGCCGTGCCGGCTCCAGGCTGATTGGTCAAGACAAAGTAGGGAGAAGGTATGGGCATTTTGAGTTTCCCTAGCGCGGGAAATCGTCAGTCTGAGCAGGGTAGCAGGTGGACTAGGACGTGTCTGGGTGCAGGGGGGGAGTTTTCCCCGTCCACCCCCGTTAATCGCGGACGTTACCGTGTTAACTAGTAGGGATGGCACCCCTGCTCTCCCTGGTTGTGTCTAGGCCCAAATTTTCGTGAAATTCGAGGGCCGACGATTTACGGAAGGAACAGTAAAAAGCTAAAGAGACAGTTGACAGTGTTCACCAGGAGGCAGCTGGCAGAGCCTCATGGTGTAACAGGTGGTTTGAATAACCTGTCTAGTGTGGTTAGACAATTAGCGGAAATCAGACAGGGCCTCCTAGTGAAATCGTGGTAAGATTACAGGCCCCTGTGGGACTTTGAATTCGACCTTGTTGGTCCGCCCGGTGGTGATACCGCCGGCCATTGTCACCCCAGTGTAGAGCAAGGCAGGCTCTAGTGTGCTGGAGTTGTGGGCGATTCCTCAACCACGTGTGTATGCCCGGGGGGCCACCCCGGCCACCCGCCGCATGGTCCGGCCACCCCACCCGCCTGCCCGCGTGGCGGCCACCCACCCAGGCGACCCGTGCGGCCAAACCCCACCCCCTCTCTCAGCTCGGGAGGGGCGCGGTGGCCACATGCCTTGGCCACTTTCCCGGGACAGCCTAGGGCCACATCTTGTCGACGCATGAGGAGCAAGCAAGCTAAGTGTTGACAGCTAGTGTGGTAGTTGTGGGAAAAATAAGGGCTGTGATAGGACTATTATCATTGTGTACAGTGGGATGCTTACCGGTGGAAATTCACGGTAAGAGTTGTCTCAGAGCCTCGCTAGGCTAGAGAAGCAGCTGAGTGACAGCTGTCAGTAAGGTCCAGGTGTTTGATAGGGCGGTACCTGGAGATGGATATTATACACGGGACCACACTGTAGTATCATAATGTATATATAGTAGACTGACTAGAGTATGTAACCGGTCAGTGTAGAGATTTACCATATAAGTGATCCAGCCTGTCGATTCTATATAATCGTTCAGACTGGATTAATGCCATAGAGTACCGTAAAATTATAATCATTAGAGGTAGTTAGTTACATTTACTTGATATAATTTTCATTGATTATGTGAATGCCATTTCTATGTGTTCATTTGCATGTCTATGTACTGTGTTGTGTGGTGAGTCAGTAGATGTGATTGCTGACTGATTGCCTAATGATGTTATTAGCATGTGGGGTATGCTGACGGCATCATTATGTTGCAGGTTTGTGCAGTATTGTTTCAGTTTATACGATATTATTGCCCCAGGAACTGTGTTGAGGGTTTAAGGGACCTCTAGGATTATTCAGGGGAATTCACAGTACTTAATGAGAGCAGGCAATTGATGGGTTAATTGCCTTGCTGAGGTATGTGTGTGTTCACAGTAGTCCTTTGCAACGGGTGCAAGATAAAGGGGGGGGCAGTAATATTAGTATACTTTTGTGTGTTGCACAACCGTGTGTCATTATTGTGTGAGCACAGTAATTAGCGAGTTGCAGTAGCCGCAACCATATGTGGGCAGTGCTTTTATGATGTTGCATGCCATTGTAGTGTGACCTATGTAACGCTGGGGTTACTTTGTTTCTTTAAGTTGTGTTGAGGACTTAAGGATTCAGTGAGTTAATTAGGTTAGGGGTAATTAACTGGATAAGGGGTGCACACTTAGTATTGTGGAGTGAGTGAGGGCTGTTATGAGAGAACAGTGTTGAGCTTGAGTGAGATACGTCTCGGGAGCAATTAATTGTCCGTGTGACAACTAATTGACCACTCTAGCTAATTATGTAATTAGCCTTGTCATCATGAATTCACGTAGTGAGAGAGGATCTGTCAGAGTCTGTCAGTATTTGTGTTAACGTAATATGCTCGAGACTAATTACCTTTCTGGGGTATAGCAATTAGTGGCTCAGGTTAATTAGTGGAGTAATTAACATTGGAGAGCTCCGATGACTCAGTAAAGCGAGGTCATGGAGCTAGCATAAATCGTTGTATTAATCATATCCTGTCTGAGGACAGTGGATTAGTGGCACATCTTGTTAATTAGGGTAATTAACTCCTTTCCCGTGAACTCACAGTGTTTGATGAGACCTGCTTAGGCAGTGCGGAGTGAGACGTATTTATGGATGATTAATTATCGGTCCTGGTGACAATTAATTGCTCAGTATTAATTAAGGGAATTAATTAGGGTAATTAACACTCACTAATAATTTTTTGACACAGACTGTGGAGAAGCTACCAAGTTAGGGTAGGCTTAGTTAACGTAACTCAATGGGGATGTAATTAGTGGTCCGTTTGACCTTAATTGAGAATTACTCACTGAATACTTGCTAGGAGTCAAGTGTGATATAATATATGTTTGAGTTATTGTTAACAAGAGAGAGACAAGTGTTAAAGATTAACGTAGAGTATCATCATGTTGTTGTCTAGTGTGAGACAATTGTTTGTGATTACCGTAGTACTTTGTTGCTGACTGCTGTGATCAGTCAATTAACGTAATTAATCCCTTAAGGCAATTTCTTTTGGTTGTCGTCTGGTGACGAGAGTAGTGTCATCTAGGGATCTGTGGAGCTGTGTCCCAGAATCCCGCCTGGCCTGTCTTTGTTACTGTTTACAACAGGGCAACTTCTTGTTGGGAGTTGCAAAGAGTATTCACACTGGGTTGTGATGGGGGGGAGTCACTGTTGGACTACCCTCCTAGTTACGTGGGTCTCTCCTGGGGGGTGGGAGGACCCCTAAGTTTGTGATTATAGTAGCTGTCAGGGAAACCGAGACACTATTGATTGCCTGCTTGTGTCTTTGTCTTCAGTGGATATCCTTCATTTGTTCAGTTAGTTCATGTTGTCAGCCCGAAGTGTCAGCAAGATGGAGCCTGCTGTCACTTCTCGAGGGGCTGTTGAATAGCTGTGTTGCAAATGCCACTTGATGTACAATAACGTAACCATTCGCTGTGGTGTAACTTAGTCTGTGATATTTTTCTTTGATTTGCAATATTGCGTCATCAGTGGGCACACCTGTGTTCAGGTTAGTTCAGTATGCAGCCTCACAGCAAGGGTTGCTATTTAGCTGTTTGTTATCGTGCCACTAGATGGACATTAACGTAACGTAAACTCGGTAATGTAGTAGTTAGTCTCTTGTTATTAATAAATTGTTATGTTATAGAAAACGGTCTTTGATGTCAACCCTTCAAACATATTATTCCACCATATTTCTGCATATTATTAAATGTTGATGTGATCTTGATACGGCTGCTGTTCTTGGAAATTCGAATTCCAATTCATAGCGCCACATCAAATATAAATATTTGATTGTGAGAACACGTCGGTTACCCTTTATTAGTTTTAACGTCCTGTTTAACTAGGAGGAGCCAGCGGCCTATTATGGACAGGTTTTCACCCCTCGTGGTGGAGGCCTGGCGGTTTGCTCCCGCTTTTCCTTTTTCTATTGGACTCATGCTTAACTGCCGTGAGCAGACTTTAAACTTGTAGTTCACCTCCTAAGGGAGGTAGGCTTTTAAGGGTTTTGAGAATGCTGCCAGATATGTCTATATCCCAAGCGTATTCTGGCCACTATAATATCATATTGCCGGGTTCTTGTTCTATTAGTCCCATTAGTCCCTTGTTAGTGAGACATTCTTTAGCTGTGTAGTCACATTACCATAGTAGTCATCCAGTGTAACATTCCCTGACTGTGTGGTCACATGAACATGGTAGTCATCCATGGGAACATTCCTTGTTTTGTGACCAAATTAACATGGTAGTCATCCAATGGACCATTACCTGGCTGTGTGGTCACATTAACATGATGGTCATCCAGTGGAACATTCCGTGGCTGTGTGGTCACATTACTATAGTAGTCATCCAGTTGGACATTTCCCTGGCTGATGATACATTAACATGTTAGTCATCCAGAGGACCATTCCCTGGATGTGTAGTCATATTAACATGGGAATCATTCAGTTGAACATTCCCTGGCTATGTGGTCACATTAACATAGTAGTCATCCAGTGAAACATTCCCAGGTGGAGTGGTCACAATAATATGGTGGTCATCCAGTGGAACATTCTACTGGTTGTGTGGTCATCCAGTGGATCATTTCCGGGGCTGCGAGGTTACATTAACATGGTAGCCCTCCAGTGGAACATTTCATGGCTGTGTGGTCACATTAACATGGAAGTCATCCAGTGAAATATTTCCTAGCTGAGTAATCAAATTAACATGATGGTCATCCAGTAGAACAATCCCTGGCTGTGTGGTCACATTAACATGGTAGTCATCCAGTGGAACATTTCCTGGAAGTGTTTTCACATCAACATGGTAGTCATCCATTGGGACATTTCCTTGCTGTGTGGTCAAATTAACATGGTAGTCATCCAGTGAAACATTTCCAAGCTGTGTGACCACATTAACATGGTGGTCATCTAGTGGAACATTTCCTGGCTGTGTGGTCACTTTAACATTTTAGTCATCCTGTGGAACATTTCCTGGCTGTGTGGTCACATTAACATGGTAGTCATCCAGTGCAACAGACCCTAGCTGTGTGGTCACTTTAACATGGTAGTCATCGAGTGGAACAGGCACTAGCTGTGTGGTCACATTAATATGGTAGTCATCCAGTGGAACAATCCCAGGCTGTGTGGTCATATGACCAAGGTAGTCATCCAGTGGAACATTCCTCGCTGTGTGGTTACATTAACATGGTAGTCATCCAATGGAACATTCTCTGGCTGTTTGGTCACATTAAAATGGTAGTCATCCAGTGGAAAATTTCCTGGCTGTGTGGTCACCTTAACATGGTCGTCATCCAATGGAAGATTTCCTAGCTGTGTTGTGGCATTAACATGGTAGTCATCCAGTGGACCTTTTGCTGGCTGTGTGGTTACTTTAACAAAGTAGTCATCCAGTGGAACATTTGCAGGCTGGGTGGTTACATTAACATTGTAGTCATCCAGTGGAACCGGCCCTATCTGTGTGATCACTTTAACATGGAAGTCAACCAGTGGAACATTTCCTAGCTGTGTGGTTACATTAACATGGTAGTCAACCAGTGGAACTTTTCCTGGCTGTGTGGTCACATTAACATGGTAGTCATTCAGTGAAACATATCATAGCTGTGTGGTCACAATAACATGGTAGTCATCCAGGTGGAACATTTCCTAGATATGTGGTCACATCAACATGATACTCATCCATTGGAACATTTTCTGGCTGTGTGGTCACAATAACATGGTGGTCATCCATTTAAATATTACCTGGCTGTGTATTCAAAATAACATGGTTGTCATCCAGTGGAACATTCCCCTGGCTGTGGGGTCACATGACCATGGTAGTCATCCAGTGGAACATTCCTGGCTGTGTGTTCACATTAATATGGTAGACATCCATTGGAACATTCCCAGGCTGTGTGGTCACATTAACATGGACGTTATCTAGTGGAACATTTCCTGGCTGCATGGTTACCTTAACATGGTAGTCATCCAGTGGAACATTTCCTGGCTGTGTGATCACATTAACATGGTAGTCATCCAGTGGAACATTCCCAAGCTATGTGGTTATATGAACATGGTAGTCATCCAGTGGAACAATCCTTGGCTGTGTGATCAAATTAAAATGGTAGTCATCCAGTGGAACATTTCCTGGCTTTGTGATCACATTGACATTGTAGTAATCCAGTGGAACGTTTCCTGGCTGTATGGTAATCCTTTACATGGTAGTCATCCAGTGAAACATTTCCTTGCAGTGTGGTCACATTAAAATGGTAGTCCTCCAGTGGAACATTCCCAAGCTGTGTGGTTATATGAACATGGTAGTCATCCAGTGGAACAATCCTTGGCTGTGTGACCAAATTAAAATGGTAGTCATCCAGTGGAACATTCCCAAGCTATGTGGTTATATGAACATGGTAGTCATCCAGTGGAATATTCCTTGGCTGTGTGATCACATTAACATGGTAGTCATCCAATGGAATATTTCCTGGATGTGTGGTCACATTAACCTCGTGGTCTAAAAGTGGAACATTTCCTGACTGTGTGGTCACTTTAACATGGTAGGCATCCAGGGAAAAAGGCCCTAGCTGTGAGGTCACTTTAGCATGTTAATCATCCAGTGGAACAGGCCCAAGCTGTGTTTTCCCATTAACATGGTAGTCATCCAGTGGAGCAATCTCTGGCTGTGTGGTCACATGAACATAGTAGTCATCCAGTAGAAAATGTTCTGTCTGTGTGATCACACTGACATGGTAATCATCCAATAGATCATTTCTTGGCTATGTGGTCAATTTAACATGGTAATCATCCAGTGGAACATTTCATGGCTGTTTGGTCACACTATCATCGTAGTCATCCAGTGGGACATTTCAGGGCTGTGTGGTCACAAAACATGGTGATCATCTAGTGGAACATTCCCTGGCTATGTGGTCACATTGACATTGTAGTAATCCAGTGGAACGTTTCCTGGCTGTATGGTAATCCTTTACATGGTAGTCATCCAGTGAAACATTTCCTTGCAGTGTGGTCACATTAAAATGGTAGTCCTCCAGTGGAACATTCCCAAGCTATGTGGTTATATGAACATGGTAGTCAGCCAGTGGAAGAATCCTTGGCTGTGTGATCACATTAACATGGTAGTCATCTAGTGGAACATTCCCTGGCTATGTGGTCACATTAACATGTTTTCATCCAGTCGAACATTCCCTTACTGTGAGATCACATAAACATGGTAGTCATCCAGTGGAACATTTCCTGGCTGTGTGGTCACATCAACATGGTAGTCATCCATTGGAACATTTACTTGCTGTGTGGTCATATTAAAATGGTAGTAATCCAGTGGAACATTTCCTGGCTGTGTGGTCACATTAACATGGTCGTCATCCAATGGAATATTTCCTAGCTGTATAGTGACATTAACATGGTAGTCATCCAGAGGAATATTCCTGGGTGCGTGGTCATATTAACATGGTAGATATCCAGTGGAATATTCTCTGACTGTTTGGTCACATTAAAATGTTAGTTATGCAGTGGAACATTTCCTAGCTGTGTGGTCACATTAATATGGTAATCATCCATTGGAACATTCCTGCTGTATGGTTACATTAACATGGTAGTCATCCAGTGGAACATTCTCTGGCTGTTTGGTCACATTAAAATGGTAGTCATCCTAGCAGTAAAATAGGTACCTGGGAGTTAGTCAGCTGTCACGGGATAGCTTCCTGGGGGTGGAGGCCTGGTCGAGGACCGGGCCGCGGGGACACTAAAGCCCCGAAATCATCTCAAGATAGTAGTCATCCAGTGGAACCTTTGCTGGCTGTGTGGTCACTTAAAAAAAGTAGTCTTCCAGTGGAACATTTCCTGGCTGTGTGGTCACATTAACATTGTACTCATACAGTAGTACATTTCCTGGCAGTGTGGTCACTTTAACAAGGTAGCCATCCAGTGGAACAGGACCTAGCAGTCTGGTTGCATTAATATGGTAGTCAACCAGTGGAACATTTCCTGGATGTGTGGTTACATTAACATGGTAGTCATCCAGTGAAACATTTAATGGCTGTGTGGTCACATTAACATGGTAGTCATCCAGTGGAACAGGCTCTAGCTGTGTGGTCATTTAACATGGTAGACTTCCACTGGAACAGGTCCTAGCTGTGTTGTCACATTAACATGGTAGTCATCCAATGAAACAAACCTTGGCTGTCTGATCACATGTCCATGGTAGTCACCAGTGGAACATTCCTGGCTGCGTGGTCATATTAACATGGTAGTCATCCAGTGGAACATTCTCTGGCTGTTTTTTCTCACTAAAATGGTAGTAATCCAGTGGAACATTTTCTGGCTGTGTGGTCACATTAACATGGTCGTCATCCAATGGAATATTTCCTAGCTGTGTATTGGCATTAACATGGTAGTCATCCAGTGGAATATTCCCAAGGTGTGTTGTTACATGAACATCGTAGTCATCTAGTGGAACGTTCCCTTGCTGTGTGGTCACATTAAAATGATAGTCCTCCAATGTAACATTTCCTGGCTGTGTTGTCTCATTAACATGGTAGTCACCCATTGGATTTTTTTCTGGCTGTGTGGTCATATTAACATGGCAGTCATCCAGTGGAATATTCCTGGCTGCGTGGTCATATTAACATGGTAGTCATCCAGTGGAACATTCTCTGGCTGTTTGGTCACATTAGAATGGTAGTAATCCAGTCGAACATTTTTTGGCTGTGTGGTCACATTAACATTTTAGTCTTCCAGTGTAACATTCCTGGCTGTGTGGTCACATTAACATTTTAGTCTTCCAGTGGAACATTCCTGGCTGTGTGGTCACATTAACATTGTAGTCATCCAGTGGAACAGGCCCTATCTCTGTGTGATCACTTTAACATGGTAGTCATCCAGTGGCACAGACCCTAGCTGTGTGGTCACATTAACAGGGTAGTAATCCAGTGAAACATTTCCTAGCTGTGTGGTCTCTTTAACATTGTAGTCATCCAGTGGAACATTTCCTAGCTGTGTGGTCTCTTTAACATTGTGGTCATCCAGTGGAACATTCTTTGGCTGTTTGGTCACATTAACATGGTAGTCATGAAGTGTAACATTCCCAGGCTGTGTAGTCACATTAACATTGTAGACATCCATTGGAACATTCCCAGGCCGTGTGATCACAATAGCATGATAGTCATACAGAAGAACATTCTCTGGCTGTGTGGTCACATTAACATGGTAGTCATCCAGTGGAACATTTCCTGGCTGTGTGGTCACATTAACACGGAAGCTATCCAGTGGAACATTTCCTGGCTGTATGGTCACATTATCATGGTAATCATCCATTATAACATTCCCTATCTATGTGGTCACATTAACATGGTAGTCATCCAGTGGAACATTTCCTGGCAGTGAGGTCACATTAACATTGTAGTCATCGAGTGGAACAGGTCCTGTCTGTGTGTTCACATTAACATGGTAGTCATCCAATATAATATTTCCTGGCTTTGTGATCACAGTAACCATGTAGTCATCCAGTGGAACATTCCCTTCGTGTGGTCACAGTAACATGGTGGTCATCCAGTGGAACATTGTCTGGCTGTTTGGTCACATTATCTGGTTGTTTGGTCACATTAACATGGTAGTCATCCTGTGGAATATTTCCTGGTTGTGTGCTCACATTAACATGGTAGTCATCCAGTGCAGCATTCCCTGGCTATGTTTTCACATTAACATGTTTTCATCCAATGGAACATTCCCTGGCTGTGTGGTCACATTAACATGGTGGTCATCCAGTGCAACATTCCCTGGCTATGTTGTCACATTAACATGTTTTCATCCAGGTGGAGCATTTCCTAGCTATGTGGTCACATCAACATGATAGTCATCCACTGGAACTTTTTCTGGCTGTGTGGTCACATTAACATGGTGGTCATCCATGTAAATATTACCTGGCTGTGTATTCACAATAACATGGTTGTCATCCAGTGGAACATTCCCCTGGCTTTATGGTCACATGACCATCGTAGTCATCCAGTGGAACATTCCTGGCTGTGTGGTCACATTAACATGGTAAACATCCATTGGAACATTTCAAGGCTGTGTGGTCACATTAACATGGTAGTCATCCAGTGGAACATTCCCCTGGCTGTGAGTTCACATGACCATGGTAGTCACCAGCGGAACATTCGTTGCTGCGTGGTCATATTAACATGGTAGCCATGCAGTGGAACATTCACTAGCTGTTTGGTCACATTAAAATGGTAGTAATCCAGTGGAACATTTCCTGGCTGTGTGGTCACTTTAACATTGTGGTTAACCTGTGGAACATTTCCTGGCTGTGTGGTCACATTGACATTTTTGTCTTCCAGTGGAACATTCCTGGCTGTGTGGTCACATTAACATGGTAGTCATCCAGTTTAACAGTCCCTAGCTGTGTGGTCAAATTAACATGGTAGTCATCCAGTGGAACAGGCCCTAGCAGTGTGGTTGCATTAATATGGTAGTCAACCAGTGGAACATTTCCTGGCTGTGTGGTCACATTAACATGGTAGTCATCCAGTGAAACATTTAATGGCTGTGTGGTCACATTAACATGGTAGTCATCCAGTGGAACAGGCTCTAGCTGTGTGGTCATTTATCATGGTAGTCTTCCACTGGAACAGGTCCTAGCTGAGTGGTCACATTAACATGGTAGTCTTCCAGTGGAACATTCCTGGCTGCGTGGTCGTATTAACATGGTAGTCATCCAGTGGAACATTCTCTGGCTGTTTTGTCTCATTAAAATGGTAATAATCAAGTGGAACATTTCCTGGCTGTGTGGTCACATTAACATGGTCGTCATCCAATGGAATATTTCCTAGCTCTGTATTGACTTTAACATGGTAGTCATCCAGTGGAATATTCCCAAGGTGTGTGGTTATATGAACATGGTCGTCATCTAGTGGAACGTTCCCTTGCTATGTGGTCACATTAGCATGGTAGTCTTCAAGTGGAACTTTTCCTGGCTGTGTGGTCACATTAACATTTTAGTCTTCCAGTGGAACTTTCCAGGCTGTGTGGTCACATTAACGTGGTAGTCATCCAGTGGAACATTTCCTGGCTGTGTGGTCTCTTTAACATTGAAGTCATCCAGGTGGAGCATTTCCTAGCTTTGTGGTTACATCAACATGATAGTCATCCATTGAAACATTTTCTGGCTGTGTAGTCACATTAACATTGTAGTCATCCAGTTGAACAGGCCCTATCTCTGTGTAATCACTTTAACATGGTAGTCATCCAGTGGCGCAGACCCTAGCTGTGCGGTCACATTAACATGGTAGTAATCCAGTGGAACATTTCCTACCTGTGTGGTCACATCAACATGACAGTCATCCATTGGAACATTTTCTGGCTGTGTGGTCACATTAACATGGAAGTTATCCAGTGGAACATTTCCTGGCTGTGTGATCACAGTAACAATTTAGTCATCCAGTGGAATATTCTCTTGGTGTGGTCACAGAAACATGGTGGTCATCCAGTGGAACGTTCTTTCGCTGTTAGGTCACATTAACATGGTAGCCATCCAGTGGAACATTTCATGCCTGTGTGGTCACATTAACTTAGTAGTCATCCAGTGGAAAAGGTCCTAGCTGTGTGGTCACCTTACATGGTAGTCATCCAGTGGAACATTTCCTGGCTTTGAGGTCACATTAACATGATAGTCATCCAGTGGAACATTTCATTGCTGTGTTGACACATTAACATGGTAGTCATCCAGTGTAACAGGCTCTAGCTGTGTGGTCACTTTAACATGTTAGTCATCCAGTCGAACAGGTCCTAGCTGGGTGGTCACAATAACATAGTAGTCATCCAGTGGAACATTTCATGGCTGTGCGGACACATTAACATGGTATTCATCCAGGGGAACAGGCCCTAGCTGTGTGGTCACTTTAGCATGTTAATCATCCAGTGGAACAGGCCCTAGCTGTGTGGTCACATGAACATAGGAGTCATCCAGTGGAAAATGTTCTGTCTGTGTGATCACATTAACATGGTAGTCATCCAGTAGAACATTTCCTGGCTGTGTGGTCACAATAACATGGTAGTCATCCAGTGGAACAATAATTGGCTGTGGTCACATTAACATGGTAGTCATCCAGTGGAATATTTCCTGGCTGTGTGGTTACATTAACATGGTGATCATACAGTGAAACATTCCCTGGCTGTGAGGTCACATTAACATGGTAGTCCTCCAGTGGAACATTTCCTGGCTATGTGGTCACATTAACATGTTTTCATCCAGTCGAACATTCCCTTGCTGTGTTATCACATAAACATGGTAGTTATCCAGTGGAACATTTCCTGGCTGTGTGGTCACATCAACATGGTAGTCATCCAGTGGAACATTCCTGGCTGCGTGGTCATATTAACATGCTAGTTATCCAGTGGAACATTCTCTGGCTGTTTGGTCACATTACAATGGTAGTAATTCTACTGGAACATTTCCTAGCTGTGTAGTGACATTAACATGGTAATCATCCAGAGGAATATTACCAAGCTGTGTGGTTACATGAACATGGTAGTCATCCAGTGGAACCTTCTCTGGCTGTTTGGTCACATTAAAATGTTAGTTATCCAGTGGAACATTTCCTAGCTGTGTGGTCTCATTACCATGGTAGTCATCCAGTGGAATATTCCCAAGCTGTGTGGTCACATTAACATGGTAGTCATCCAGGGGAACAGGCCCTAGATGTTTGGTCACATTAACAAGGTAGTCATCCAGGGGAACAGGCCCTAGATGTTTGGTCACATTAACATGGTAGTCATCCATTGGAACATTTCCTACCTGTGTGGTCACATTAATATGGTGGTCATCCAGTTGTACATTCCCTAGCTGTGTGGTCACATTAACATGGTAGTCATCCAGGGGAACAGGCCCTAGATGTTTGGTCACTTTAACATGGTAGTCGTCCATTGGAACAGGCCCTAGCTGAGTGGTCACATTAACATGGTAGTCATCCAGTGGAACAATTCTTGGCTGTGTGGTCACATGAACATGGTAGTCATCCAGTTGAACATTTCCTGTCTGTGTACTCACATTAACATGGTAGTCATCCAGTTGAACATTTCCTGGCTGTGTGGTCACAT